AAAGGTGTTCCTGGTACAGATCATCTGTAGTTGATACCCCTGTTGATGTTGCCAACATCTCAATCCCTGCAAGTTCAAGAAGTGGGTGAGATACAGTTTCAAGATCCTTTCTGCCTGCTAGAGATTTAGAACAGAACTATTCCAGGTAAAGCTTGTTCCTCTAGATGCTTTTAGTTGGCCCAAGGATGAACAGCAGGCTTTGGTCTTCGGGGTTGACTGTCTGGAATTAAAATAGTTTGAAAAAGACAGTGTATCTGAAGTATAAGTATGCTGTTGAGTTGTTTTACTCAAAGCATACCAGCTTCCAAAACTGGAAGAAGTCTAGTTAACATAATTGCACGACTTTGACTTCCCAGGCTACATAGCATTTACGCTTGGGCCAGCAGCATTTGCTTTAAATACCACTCTGACCTGGCTTGAACTGGCACATCTGGATCTGTGGTGAGAAGTTGCAAATACCCTGCCAGCATATCCTCTCTGGAATTTCTTGTTTTCACTGAGTACTCTTTCAGCAACTTGTCAGCACAACCTTCTGTATAGACATCTGGGAAATTCACACTGTGCTGTCACTGTGCTCCCTGAGCAGAGAGCTGTGTGCCATCAAGGTCCGTGGTCTTGCAGGATGGAGCCATTGTTATCCAGACTTCCTGAAGAACCCACACTTTGAATGCATATTTATGGCAGATCTGTGTGAAACAATGCAGCGTCTCCCAGGGATACACTGGACTGTCGCATAGGAATGTAATATCTTTTAGTTGGGTGCTCTCCAGGAACAGCTTTTTGAAGTGTGTACGTGCACTAGTTGTTTTGCCGTGAGTCTTCTGTAGAAGCCCCTAGTTCAAAAGAGTCTGATTTATATACGTGATCTCGTTGGATATCTTTATTTCCCTCTGTTCAGTGTGGGTGGATTGTCATGGCTGCTCCAGTTAGTGTGGGGCATTTGGCCTTTAGTGGTATTGACACTGAATGCCATTTAAAGGTTGTACGGGAAGTTGGAGTGAAGGTCTCTTTGTGGGGTGAGAAATGAGAGAAAAAATGAGATGCATGTGCTGCAAAATAGATTCTAGATGATGCAAAATAGGTGTGTTACGCTAACTAGATTCTACAGTACATCTGTAACTGTGAGTATGCCTTTAACTGGAAAACCTGAAGTAAGGCTGGTTTATGTTATGAACTTATGCAGAAATAATAATCATGAAAGCTCTTAAATTTCCGCTCTGTAAAACCTTCCCATCATCTTACTGTCTGAGAGTGGTTACAGCTTGCGTTTTTATTCTTGTTATTTATGCCGTGCATGTATCACTGAGCATCTTTTGGGCACAAGTTAGCTCCTGTTTCGAGTCAGCTTTAGGCAAGGGGAGATGAGGCACATATCTAGGATAGCAAAACCCCACCTTGGGATAGGAGAGAGAGAGAGAAATAGGCTGTGACCCTGCAATGATCAGCGCAGTGGCCATGGCTCCGTGCCCAACCTGGTGCTGCAGGGCAGCTCCCTGAGACGTGATCCTGCGCTCATAGCTCAGGGCGGGTGAGTCTGCTCTGATAAACAGATGGCCCTGGCCTTAGGCCAGTATGTGCAGCCAGGCTCTGCACATGCCCACCTCACAGTCACACTCCCTGCGGCCGTCTAGGGCTTGGGGGAGAAGCCGTAGATGTGCCAGGCACCTGTGGGGGAGACGCCTAAAGCTAAGCTACTTTCTTGTGCCACCACCTGAAGGCATCAGTACTAAGTTCTCTGTCTTGGCAAGGCCAAGCACAAGCTGTCAGCTCTGGTGGGAGCAGAAACAGAGCAGGAGCACTGTGGTTTTCTACTGTGGCTGGAGCACTCGCTGTCACAGTGCTGAGCCGTGCACTCTTAGAGTCATGGTACCCTTAAGAGCCGTGGTCTCTTAGAGGGGCAGCCCTGATCCCTTCAGACACTAGGATGGTACTGGCCCAAAAGGGCAAAATCACTTTGCCCTCATCTGCAGGGAGTCGATACCCATTTTTATCAGCACTGCAAGAAACCGTGCACAGTGTTCTGTCCCTTCTATGCCTCATGAAGCAGGACAGCAGATGTGGTGTACTAGAAGGCAGCAGTGCTGCATGGACGAGGCAGGATGAGGAGGGGGAAAATGAGTTGCAGAGGGAGGCCCCCTCAGAGAACATGGGCTACAAGTGAGGAGGGACTGTGTCAGAATTAGAGGATGGCAAATGCTAAGGAGGTACAGTGTCTGAAGTTAAGAGAATGCTGCAGTTTAGGTACTCAGAGCATTAAGCATAACTTCATGTCAGTGTGTCTTATTACCAAACAGTACCAGAATGCTATGAATTCCATATATATATATATGTACACACACATACATAACACGTGTGTGCATACATGTGTATAGATAATATATAGTTACATCTTTATCTCAGGGAAATAAACTGTTGGCATATTTTCTCCTGCAGCTGCTACTCTGAAACATGGACAGACTTGTCTTCTCTCTCACACCTCTCACTTGGATCCATTCAAAATGCAGGCTGCTCTGTTGTCCCCTTTATATCACTCTCCACTGCACTTTGTATTACTCTTTTTTTTCCCACAAAAGTGAGGAATTCATGATTTATCATCTCTCTCCATCTCTTTCCTCAGGAAAAAAGAGCCCGGACCTTGGGGAATACGATCCCCTCACTCAGGCTGACAGTGATGAAAGTGAAGATGACCTGGTACTCAATATCCAGAAGAATGGGGGGGTCAAGAATGGGAAGAGCCCCCCTGAGGAGGTGCAGGACCCTGACTCTGATGTGGAGGTTGGGATGACAAAGCAGCACACGTCAGAGAGCGCACCTGAGGGTTATCCTGCAGAGGCAGCTGGGAGTTTGGAGCAGAAGACTGCTCCCTCCCTCATGCCATACTTGCGCACAGCGATCTTTTTGCTCACTGTGGTGATCTCGATGATTCTGGTGCTGGTGTGCGCGTTTCTAATTCCCTGTCCCCCTAGAGACTTGCATAACACGTGGAACCGCAACCTAGGTCAGGGAACAGGTGAGAAAGCCCCAGGAACGGCATCTGGCATGGGGGAGGTGGCAGCTCCCAGGATGGGCATCGGCGGGAGAGACCTATCTGGGAGAGCCAGGTCAGAGCAGAGGCCCTTCCTGACCACTGCAGATGCTCCGAGGTAATAGACAGGCGGCTGTGTGTCCTGCTCACTCTTCAAGCTGAGACCTGTGAAATCCGACATCAGGAGATAACAGTACCTCAAAATCTTGTTTCGTCAACACCAAAAATCATTTTGACTCTTCTCCTCTCCCCCCTTTTTGTCCAGATGGTGCACTTTGTTCCAGATGGAGGTGGCCCAGCTCACTTTAAAACATAGCATCTCCCTTTCTACATCCTCGGTTTTACCAGCACCTCCACACTTAAGTGTGTGGGTATGTTCAGGAGGAGAGGGATAGAAGTCTTTGTGTCTTCTAACTGGCTTAACTAACCTTATTTCTTTTGTCTTCTTGTCCTGCTTGAATCCATAAATCAACATTCAGGATCTTTTGTCATCCTATATGTGCCACTGGTAACATTTCTAAAATATCTCCTGTTCTGACTTCTGCAGTAAAGTAACAGTGGTTTGTGAAATAAATTCTGCCAGGTCTAGATACGTCTCTCCCTCCTTGCTTTCTGCTTCTGGCTTCCAAATCTAAGCCTTTCATAAGATATGTGGCTTCCACATCACTTCGGAAAGTGAGCTGGGAAGCAGAAATCTTCCATTAGCTCCTTCATTTTTACCTTTCCTTTCTCTGACCCAGATGCTGTATTTTGACCTTTCCATGCAATGAAAGACCCCCCTGTGGTTTGAGCTGCGTGGCGTTGGTGCCTAGCAGACTCTGTGAGGCTTGGCTGTTCATGAGTCTCTTTCTGGGCCAGCCTGCCTCACAGTGGGCTGGGTAGCCTTTTTGACAACAGTGTGGTGGTTCTCTATGGCTGTTGCAGGTGGTGTGTTATCTCCACTGGAGCTGTGTGACGTGAACGGCGATGGGCTCCCTGACATCCTGATTGTCTTCACTGCCTTGATGAATGCTAGTGTCAGGGGTAAGCACCACAGCTCCTTTCCATTCCTCTTTCTGTCATGTCAGTACAGACCTTTGTATGTTTGTTGTACATGTGGGAAGAGTTTCTGCCACTGCAAATTCACTGCATTGCTCTTTTCAGAGTTCCTTGAAATGGCTGGTGGACTGTGTCTGTGCTTATGTAATGCTGCTTATAATTTTCATTGCAAGCCTGCACTCCCATACCTGTTAGGTCAGGGATGTCTGTTTCCCCTTATCTCATCTTAGGGCAAGTCCATCTCTTTGTCTTGTATTTGTGCACACTTGATTTGAGGACAGAGATAAAGTGATCAGAAAGCGCTGCTCTTCAAATAACAGTTGGATATAAGGTGGGAAGGTGGGGGTTTCCCCTCATGTTACATTTCAAAGCTCTTCACAGAAGTATTTATCTTTCATCACAAAGATGTACAGTTCTCAGCATGCTATGAATGGAACTAGTCATACCTAGCTGCATCCTGGACTACAGCTATGCTGGAAGACAAAAGACATTCAAGCAGGTATAAACACATCACAGTCTTAAACACACATAGCTGGACATCAGCCCTCCTGTAGTTTGTGCAAAAGCATTCACACAGTCTCAAGTAGAGAAGAGCTTGGAATAGATACCTGATGGAGTAAGTTATGACATAGTTAGCTGCTTCTCCAGCTTGTACACACAGCAGCTGCAAGCTCATTCAGAAGTTAGTTGTGCTTGGTCCCTGCCAACCCACTGAAGAGAACTTGGGCTGGGGCAACCCCCTAGCATTAGCCAGCTGATCCTCTGTTTGAGAAGAGAGTGAGTTTGATTTAGAGAGTGGGCTTAGACTTGCTTTTATTCAGTGGCCCAGATATGCTTTTGTGCAGTCAGGTCACATGTTGTTTTGCTAGTAAGACAGGAATCAACTGGGACTGTTGTTATTTTGAAATGTATGGGAGTTCATCTTCAATTGTGATAGGACCATTCCGTATGGAGATTACAGTAACCACAATTATGTCTGAGGGCAGACTGAAGTAAAAGTTGCTCACGTTTGGAATCAGAGCCAACATTTCACTGAAACAACATAGTGCTTTTTTTTTTACAGTTATTTTGTGTTAACTGGTGAATTAGGAAAAGACCCCTGAGCGACACCGTTTGCTTGCATTCAGTCTGTTTTTAACAATAATAAAACTCACTTGGAAAAAGAAAGAGAAAGAACTCATTGCAAATCACCACCTTCTGCTGCAGATTTAAAAAGAACCCAGAACTTTTACATGAGGTGGCATCTGCCTTGGGAGTCGCTCAAGGTTACCCCTTGGTGCTAGCTATTGTCTTGAGGGAGAGAGGATCAGAAGGATCAGTCTTGTTTGACAGCAGTACATTTCACACCAGGAAGTCAGCACAACTGAGCAGGTGGTCCCCAGAATCTTGGTTCCTCTGTGGCCAGCTGATCACATTTCTTGCTGTGAGCTCAGGTCCTCTATGATTGTCTGCGCTGTTGGTTGACAGCCCAACTTGTCTGGACATCACTGCTGTGGGGTGGGATTTGACCTTTGCTTTCAGGCAGTGTGGATGTGTCACTTGAGCTACTCAGCTCTAGGAGCTAGAGATGGAACTCAGTCGCAAAGACCAAAGGCAGCATGGGCATAGCCTCTAACTCTCAATTTCCTGCCTCTTCCAGGTGTCTCTAGGCCCTCCGTAACTGTGGTGGCCCTTTCTGGTATGAATGGCAGCACCCTGTGGTCCATCGAGCTTCCAGAGGAGACTCGGAGTGTGCAGTGCAAAGGGCTGTCACTGGGGGCACCTGCAGAGCCCGTCTGCCTTGTTACAGGAACATCAAAATTCCTCAGCCTTCTCAGTGCCTCCACAGGTAGAGTGAACTACCAGCATATTAGAAATATGCTACTGCTTTTTTTGTTTTCTTTAAAGGACTAATAAACTTGAATGATTCAGTCCTAGCACTTCAGAGTGGCTGTAATCTAGTGATACACAGGAAGGAGTCGAAACAGTAATGAGTTTCTAGTTATACCGGATAATAAAATCCAAACCATCACAGCTCTGTGGCAGCATCTTCATCATACCATCTCAGAACAGTTCAAAGTGTTAATCTGAGCCTGTAGCACCTCCATGGCATAGAAGATATGCAAGGTCTGTTCTCATCAACACTGATTTTTTAGTACAACTCTGCATTTTACCTAACCACTGAAAAGCTGATAACCATTCTTGGAGAAGTCATATAAGGACATATGCTACAGCCAGGAAGCCTTCCAAAGAAATTAGGCTCATAGAAGGATTGATTAGATGTGAATGAATACTGCATTTTTAATCACTTGATCATGTGCACCCGCATTCTCTGATTGCTGTTTGGTTTACCACATTAATTCACTGGCAGAAATATTCACAGGTAGGTATAGGGATGTTTTTGGAATGAAAACAGAGATTGGAGACATACAAGAAACCTTGTTTTTAAGTGACAGATCTAGTCAATGAGTAGCAAAGCTTTCAAATGCTTTTAGGGACCAGATTACTTGCACAGTGTTTGCATAGCAAGGACCATAGGTTGTCTCCTTTATCAGCAGTAGTTGTGTTATTAATATGCACAAGTGTTTGAAGGTCTGGCCTTTGGCTTCCTTTTGTCACGTAGAGGCAAACCCTATCCTATGGAGCAGCAGCAAAGCAAAGCATTTTTAAACTCTGACTGAAAAAGCAGAAGTATTGGCAAAAGAATCACAGAAAAATAAAATCACTGAATTTCATTTTGCCTTTTTTTGGGTATTTGCCAATTTGCAGATCAGGTTTTACTGAGTTTCCAGCTGGGTCCATGCTGGACTGCTGAACCATTTGACATCATGCTGCTAACATGCTTTCACCCTGAGGTGGAGTGAACATGCCATGTTGGAGGGGCTATTTGCTGATGAGAATTTAACAGGCATACAGATTTGCACTTTGAATATCAGAACTACCCATCTGTTCCCTTTCCTGGCACCTACCTGTGTGCTTTACTTCTGGCTGAGGAAAACAACTGCTGTCCTGCAGAGCAGCACTCTCATTTAGGTTCTGTTTCCAAAAGCAAACCTCAAATATTCTCTGCTATTTCAGGAATTGTTTTGTGCTCAGGACTTTCTAGAGAGATGCTAAGAAGGAAGCACAGCAGGACTTGAGGCTTGACTCAAAAGACAATCTGAAGAAGTGCTGGGGGAAGAACTTTGTTTCCCACTGCGTCGTGTCCCCGTCTGGGGCCTTGTCTTTCCTCTTCTCAGAGAATGGGAGAAACAACCTCTCTTTCTCTCTCCTTCAAGAAGGCTTTGTGGAACCCTTTGGGGATGCATGCTGGTTCCCCAAGTGTTGCAGGTTTCTTTCATCCTGTTTTTCCCACAGGCAAGACCATCTGGACACTAAACTCCATCCACCTTTCAAGCGGGATCCTGGCTGCACCGGCTGCAACTCTTCCAGATGTAGATGGAGATGGTGTTAAGGATATTGTTGTTCTGGCTCTCAAAGAGACACAGGTACAGCATATACCTGCTCTAGGTTTCAAAGGACCATGACTATGTAGAGGAAGAACAGGCAGCCTGATCTGGAAAGGCTTTCACAGGAGCTGCAAGAGCCCCTCATTTTAATTCCCTTACATATCCCTGAAAAGCACCTTTTTTCTTTCAAGAGGTCAGAGCAGTGAGATCAAGCAATACTACTACTACCTGCATTTCTTGTCAACTGGGAATGAACAGAAAGGTCATTATTTACCCCTTGAGAATTATCTGGTTTTGTTCAGTGAAGTCTTGGTTTGAGTTGCTGTTCAGCAGCAGCATAGGGAGCCATGTTGTCATAAGTCTCTGGACAAAGGAGCATTCAGCTTACCTAAAAGAAATACTTGTGTGATTAATTCTGGTGTGGATTTCCTCTGTGCTCATCCCTCCCACAATTCTAGCATCAATATTGTTACAGGAGTTCAGGTTTTTGAAGTCCCTTCCATCTTCGATGCATTTGCAGTCAAGAGAAAAGGACAAATATAAGATGCCCAGGAAGCCAGACTTAGCAAAGAGAAAGAGACCACTAGCTAGACCTTGCTGTGAGGGGAAAGAACAAACAGAGCCTCATACTGTGGGGACAGGGGAAGATTCTGAGAGCACAAGTGTATGAAAGCACTGCTAAAATTCTGTACATATCTCTCTTTGCAGCCTGATGTGTTTTTCATCTTGGTGTCAGGAAAGACTGGGACTGCTTTGGGTGGGCCTGTGAGGTACAGCACCAATGGAGAAGGGAAAGTGATTGGCCCCCAAGTCCACATCACCAGTCGGGGAGCCATCTACATCCTGTTTGGTTTTGGTAAGATGCACCTTGCCTTTCTAGCACTTCATCCTACTGAGAAAAATCCATTTTATCTAAAATAGCCCAGAGTATCCTTGGGATATTTTGACCATGCCTTTTGCTGTAAAAGCTAGGAGTAGATGGCATGGGAACAAGTCTCACTGCCATGGTGGGGAATACCTTGATCTGGACTACCTTGGAGTTTCCCAAAGGCACATCATGCCAGGGATGTTCCAGCTCTGGGCATTTATTCATTTTCTACTACAACTGCAGTTGACCCAAGCACCCTCCGTGTTACTAGGAAGTTAACTTTTGCAGGCAGGACTTTTCATCTTTACTCTTCCTGGCAGGTAATGTTCAAGCAGTTGCCCTGAGGGATATCTTTACTCAAGCCAGAAACCGAGACAGCTTTTCTGCAATGCTGCAGCAGGAGGAACCAGAGTGGGAAAAGCGCAGATCTGTCAACCTGTCAGAGCTCATTGACATTTACAGGTAGGAGATGATGAACATGTCATCTTGCTTCTGCTGGGAGAGGAAGGGGAGGGTAGGCACTTTTTAGTGCTCCTAGAGATGGTCCCTTCTACTTCAGTACTGTGGTGCTTTTCATTGTCCAGTTGATAACAGTACTCTGGGCAACCCATTGTTCCCCCCTGCTCTGTATGAACTGCAAAGTATGGTAAAAGGGAGTCCATTGCTTCTTCTGCTCCTTGTCCTTTTTCCCAACACCTGTGCATATCTGGAGGGAAAAAAAACCCAACAAAAAGATGTTCCCAGCTAAGAGAGTCCCTTTGGGAAGCTCAGTCTGTGTACAGCATTATGGGCCTGGATTTCTCAGCTCCTTCTTTGTTACTGCCAAAGTGTGGTCAAGGTCAGCCTGGATAGGAATAAAAGGAGGGAACAAATATGAACCCACAAACTCCCTGCATTTTATAGTAACTCAAGATACTCAGAAGATCCCACATTAATTTAGCTCACTTAACTGAGGAACCCCCAAAGGAATCTATGCTCCGTCACTGGGAAAAAGATGAGCATCTCCAAGAATCGTTTAAATGTTAGGTAGGATGAATTGCCATGGAGACAGGTAACTAGTGCTGAGATGTGCAGATACGAGCCTTGGAATCTCCTCTCTGCTTTCCATTTGTCCCAGTGGGGGTGTCGACTTCCTGCAGACAATGAAGACACCTGACACAAACTGCAGCAACCTGCTCATCACATCCAAAGAGGGCTTGATCCTACTGCGGGGGCAAGACCTGGAGCCCCGCTGGACCTTGGAACTACAGAACATCAGCAGGTTACATACTGGGAATATTTTTCTGCCTTATTTCTTCCTGTACCATTTCCTGCTTTTCACCTGTAAGCACATGCGCTCCTTAAAAAGCGATTGAGACAAAGTCTCCAAGTCTGCAGAATGATCTGTGGGTGTGCAGATGCATTGCTAAGCAAGTGAGGAAGTCAGGGAGAGTAAGGAACAGAAGGCTGGAAACTGGAGCTGTGTGCTTGTGAATGATCACAAATAAGGGGATTGGTTCAGGCACCCAACATTGATGTCATGGGAATGCCATGGCATTGGAATTTAGGGGTTTCCTGGTGTGTGATTCAGTCCAGCTGCTATCCAGGGCTGCCACTTCCCAGCTCAGTGGAGAGGAGCTGTTGCATTAGTGATGTTAAGTATTTAGAGAAGGTGTCTTGAGTATGGCTCAGAGGTCTTAATGTTCCTTGAAAGCTGAAAATGAGCATTCTCATTCTGGAGCTCATTCAGTCAGCATGCCATCTATACTAAATGTAAACCTTAAATTAATACTGCTCTTCCTCTCATTTCACACATGCAAATTAAGTAATTTGCAAGATATTGTGGGTTGATAATAACCAGCAATTTCAGCTTGCACAGTATTAAATATTTGAAAAGGGCAGTTGGGCACAATTGAGGGAAATTATGTGGGAAACAAATTGCTTGCTCTGCTATCTAGAAGAAAGAAAGCAGCTCTCAGCTCAGTGTTACCTGACTGTCAAAAGCATCTATAGGAAGAAGGCATTGGAACCTCATTAAGCATAAAAATTGTTGTTCGTCTAGGTTTGATATTCAGATAATGGCTGCATTTGTGAGATCTTATGGATGACATAAGCAATGGCTTTTAGGAATGGCTTATGTGTAGTGGATCATGCTATGGGGAGAAGAGATCGACTAAAGGTGTTTCAGGTCCAGAGTTCTGGACTTCTGGATGTGCCTGGGGTCTAGTTTAAAGGGCAAGTGTGTACTGACTAAGCAAAGCCAGTTCATAGATGCTGTAAAACCAGTTATACTCAAGAAATTTCTAAATGGACCCACTAATGAATTGAAAAAATTCTATGGGTTCAAATCAAGAAGGGTTGAAAGCTGCTTTACCTGTTCTATTCACAGAATCACAGTTGGTTTGAGGTTAAAATGCACCTCTAGAGGTTGCCCGGTCCAACCAACCTGCTTAAGCAGGATCAGCTAGAGCAAGTTGCTCAGGGCTGTGTACTGTCAAGTTTTAAATATCCCAAAGGATGGAAACTCCACAAACTCTCAGGGCAACTAGTATTCCAGGTTGCTGTGCTCCAGCTCTGCTTTTTATGGTTCTGTGACCTCCCAAAGGACAGACTACAACACATGTACAGGAGCTGCCAGCTATGCATTGAAAAGTAGTAAAAGCAATTCTTGATCAAGGCCACTGTGATAAAGCCCTGGACTGCCTGTTTTCTTAGAGTTAAGAGAGACATAATCTGAGAGACTGAATGTATTGTGCACAAGCATTTATTTAAGAGGGGTTTGTTGGTTTTTTTGGGGGATAGGACTTAGAGAAGTACTGCTTTAGCAACACAGGCTGGGGGGCACATTCAGCTGAAGGGTGTCACCACAGAGTCAAACAGACCGAAACATAGTTTCTTGTCAGACAAAGCTTACAGAACCAGCTGAGAACTCCCCTTTTCCTAGGTAAACCTGCCCAAGCACACCATTCCAGCCAGGCAGACTGAGTCCAGCACTTTGGGAACAGTCTCTGAGAAAAACAACCTGGCTGCTGCGGACGTGCTGCATGTCCAGATTGCTTTGGACGAGATCTCTGGAAAACCATAAAGGGGAATCAGTAGTCATAAAACAAGGGTGAAGTTCAGAGACCATGAAATTGAGTAAGCAGTAGAAAATTGTGTTGTAAATGGATGTTTCAGATGAGAGAGGATTAATAGGAGGTTGCTGTGGGATTACTGTTGGGCAGGAATAATTACTAGCCTTCTGGTTCATTTGAGAAAGTGCCCAGGGGATTTTTCAGTTGATTGGTAGCATCTAAAATATATACGTCTGTCTACGTTCAGTTTTTGGGATTTGCTGCTGACTGTAACCATAAAAGGCACGAGAAGAGGCATCTTAGGAGAGGTTTTAAGTTTGTGCCCATAGGTTACAACTACCTACTGCTTCCTTTTGCTGCTTGTGGGCTTTCAAGCTATAGGAGCGTCCCATGATACTGCCTTGAAAGCATTGGTTCTGGTTGCCAAAGGTGTCTGTAGAGTGAATGGTACTGATGGAGTATATATAAATATAATACATATTTTTGTCATATATATTGAATATTTATAATAAATATTCAAGCCACTGTTGTGCTGTGGTATTGATGTTCAGTTGCCATTCTGGTATGCATATTTTAAAGAGAAAGCTGTTAAAAAATGGAGAAAAGGGCTTTATCATGGATGATTTAAGTCAGTGTGTTTCTATGGTCAAAGAGAAGCCTGACAGGTGAGTTCATAAGCATGTGTAAGTCATAGGAGCTAACAGGGATTTTTATCTTGCTATAGCAAGAACAAGTGCCTTGCAGCAAAAGCTGTTCACACTCAAGAAGATGAAAATGGAGGCATGTTTCTTTGGGTAAGATTAATCATTAGAACTGACTGTCTTGAGAAGTGATGAATTTATCTCATCTTTGTATTTCCATAGCAAGCCTCATGGATGGTAGATCTAGCCTATGTAAGCCTACTGATACTTGGTTACTTGGCAAGCAATTGACAGCTATCTATCATAAACAAGAGGAGGGAGGACATATTCTGATGATACTTCCTTGCCCTAAAATCTCTGATTCTGTGAATTTTGAGGAATCATTTGTGCTTCTTTAGGTCCATATGTCTAGCTGTGGTGAATTTAAGGAAGACAGAGCTAAGACTCAGAAAGCCAGAGGCAAACAAGACGGTTAGAAGACAGTTATAATGAGAGATACTCAAGTAATAGTCTTATGTCTCCTCGAAGGGAGAGAGTGAGAGGAGACTTCATTTAAACTGCTCAAGGTTATAAAAAGGCTTGTAAAACCGCCAGCAGTAAGAAAACAAAGAATCATAGGCTAACATTAATGGAAAATATATTAAGAGCCATTTCACACAGCTAAGGCAGCCTGGGAAATACACTTGCAGCAGGAGGTCAAATCTAACGATGCTTTTCAAAAGGGCTGGGTAATTTTTTATGACCGTAGCAAAATTGCACAGGTTCTCATGCTAAGGAGTGAATAATAGAGAGTCATGTCACAGGGTGATAAACACATGTCTATACAGCCCAGCAAGGGATTTCTCCCCCACCCCGACAAGTCTGAAGAATAGCTAACAAGCACCATGGGCTGCTTAATCATTTTTCACTTTTGTGATCCACCAACAAATAGTTCCTAACAGTCAGAACAGTTCTGAGTGGATGAAAGATCTTATTTAGCATGGCAAATCCTACCTTTGTAAGAGGCAGAATGGAGGATGAAAGCAATGATGCATCTGAAATCCCTGTTTTTCAGCCATGGGGCTGAGTGTTTCTTTTTCTACATTTGCAGTGAGCCTGTACCAGGTTACTTCAGTGCTGACCAAACTCTGGACTTCCTGCTGCAAGCACAGATGGGAGATGGGAACAAAAAGGTAAAACAAGTGCAGGCAAGGAGAGCAGTGGCAGCAGAGGAGTGAGGGAGTTTGGGTTGAAGAGGATAAACCTTCCCTGCTCCTTGCTCTTTCCATTTCTGTGCTGACACCACTGTGTGGCCACAGGCATGAAATGGAACAGCACAGGCCATGCCACTGCAAGCATGCCCATGCCTGAACACCCATTAATGCTAGATCTCTTCCCTGTCTTAAGGTGATGGTGGTAGATGGCAAATCTGGCCTCCCTCTCTGGAACCAGGAACTCCCATGGCAGAAGCAACAACTTGATGCACTGTCAGTCATGACTTTGGACAAGAAGTCCGTTTTTCTCTTCTGGGCTGATGAAGCACAGCCTGTGTTACAAAATTTGGTGAGCAAGCATCCTTTCTTCACTTTGAGGTGTGTCTGTGAGGCATATGCAGTTTCTGTCTTTTATTCCTAATGTAATTGAACTTTAAACCTGCCATATAAGAAAGCTGTCAGGGACATCTTTTCCTCTTGTTGTGACACTCTTGACTTCTGTGAGCCTGAACAACAGGAGTTTTTGTGTGCAAAGTCTTCACCTGAAAGCTTTGTTGACAGAAAGTTTGCATCCACAAAACCAAAATGTTCTGTGTGAATTTCATGATTTTTTCTGCAACTCTGAGATATTTTTACTGCAAATTAGTTCCCAGCCCCAGAGCTCTTCTCCTCTGCGTGCAGGCACACAGGTCAGCATGGATACTCAAAATTCTAGACTGTAGCCTGTCAAATTGGCTTTGACAGAGCCAGGTATCAGCCTTACCAAAGAGAAGTTGTAGAGCAGATACTGTTTTAGAAATAAAAACTTTGCAGGATTTAATCTTTGTAGGACCATAGAGTGTTTGATTCTCTGATCCATATAAAGACAGCACAGTGTCAGAAAACATCTTTATTTCTTTGGCAGAGCTAGACTCCTCTTTGCTAGCCATCTGTAACATTTTCACTTGTCCTTGGTTCCAACAGCATCCTGGTCCCAGAACTGAGCACCCACGGCTGCACCACCTCTATCTCCTCCATCCTGTTTTTCCTACAGTCCTTTTGGACCTCACCAATGCAACAGACAAAGTCATTGCTTCAGCAGGTGAGTACAAATGGAGGAGAAACTACCTAGGCTAAATGAACTATGGAGGGAGAGGTAGCTGTGAGAAACAGTGGGGTGTAGTTGAGCCTTTAAAGGTAGCACCTGAGGTCACCACACATAGGCCAGCAATGGGAAGATTCAACTTATTTGGTCCTGTCCAAACCCTACTTTGCTGATAAAAACCCACCAAGTTTCTTGCACATGTTTAAGCAAGGAAATGTCCGAGTTTGATTTCATGCATATTTTACACCAGGGAAGTTTCCTTGCTTTCCATGGAGCTATTTATGATTTAAGATGGTGCTTGAAGAACCACTATAAAACTTTCCTCTGTCACCTCAGATATGCTTCTGCCTTTTTTGGCCATCCTCTGCTCCCCGGGGTAGCAGCTGTGCTGTTTCTTCCTTTTTCTTTTTGGAAGGGGGAATACAAAGTATTTAAATGTGTGTTTTCAGGAAAAAGTAGATCTGAATTTAACATCTGTACAGGATCGTACAGTCCCTGTTGGATTTCCTTGCTCTTTCTACAGCAGTTCAGCCAACAGCCAGCTTACTGAGCATGGCAGCGTATGGGATAAAAGATCAGTTCATCCAGCACAGTCCAGTGGGCCAGGAAGCATAGAAAAGCTGCTACATAGTGATACAGCTAATTGGATTTGCATCAAAACTACAGCTCAGTCAAGAGCAAATAGAATATCATTTTTAGAGGGGTTTATTAGAAACTGCAGTTTCTGAGGTCAGATCATTTTGCAGTGACTGGAGTGAACCAACTTGCTCGTGCTCTGTAGCGGTTAAACAGTAGCTGCTGAGAAGTGTGGGAAGGAAAGCTGTCTGAAAGTGAACTGCGTTACTGAAATTTGTGCATCTCTATGTCAAGCTCCAAAACATCTCCTGGAACCAAATCTTTTCATTTCTGATCTAAATTTCAGTTTATTTCCATGGAAAAATTATAATGTAAAATCATTTTCCCTGATTAACTAAGGTACAGGCAATTGCAAAGTCAGACTTAATATACCCTCAGTCCAGTGCATGTTTTGACTGAGTAAAGACTGTAAGATTTATTTTGGAAGAAACATAATAATTTACTCCTCACCAATATTTTCTTGCCCTTTTCTGATGGACCAGTTGGAATTAATGACCTCCAGAAGGATGCATTTCACATCACTGTGACAACAACTGCAACCTCTGAAAAACAGCCAGGATTTCTCTCAGTCAGCAAGCTGGGCCTGAAGTGGGCCATGATGAGTCAAGGTCGTATGGTGTGGCTGAAGGACACCACCACTCCCAAAATCAGCCGTGGAGAAGTGAGAAGATTTCTTGCCCGGCTGAAATTTGTTGACTTTCCTCAACGGGTGAGATTGTACAGGAATCCCTAAAGAAATCCAGACCTTTCAAAACATCTGATTTCTTCCCTACAGACACACTTAGGTGCTCTTTGTAATGCAAAGAGGCTTTGCTGAATGCAGAGAGGCTTGCCCAAGGCTGGCTGTCCGTTTTGGGTATAAACTGGACAGATTGTGAGGCCCAGCTGTACTTTGACAGTTGGACAAGGAGGGGTACCTTAGGTAGAACCAGGGATCAGCAACTGAGAGGCTCACAGAGGGAAGGGAGAGGTGGGACAGAGATCCTTTGTTTTAACATCGGCAAACAGGTGCCCAGGTTCAGTTGCTGACCTGTGAATTACCACTTTTCTCTACCAGTCTGTATGATAACAAGTTTTGGATTCATTTTTTTTTTGTTTGTCTTTCCAGCTCTAGCCTGGTGGTTCCTCAGATTTTGGTTGGACTTGTGGCCTGTGTCGGAATACAGGAAGCTGCTCTGTGGATCTTCAGGAAAACTGTTGTGTAGAGGGAATAGGGGCTAAACGCACTTCCCCTTTCTGCTGCTCTGGGGAATGCTACTTGAGTCAGGTTTGTCCAAGGTAGACCTGTCCTGTACTGGAGGAACTTTGTTCAGCATCTTCCCTTACATATGCCGTTCTTGCATGCTTCCTTCCAGGTAACACAGAAATGTGAATTTAGAATTTATATACATATATATATAAAAAACCAGGCTTTATATATATATATGTATCAGTTTATAACATATATGTATATTTTTTGTATGTTTAATTTATAAATGAGCTTTAGGACACTCCTTTTTATCTCCAAACAGTATTCCCAGACAGTCAAACAAGCTCTAGGACTAGACTGGGCCATGATGGCTCAAGGCAAATGGTGTGGCTAAAGGCACCACCTGCTTTAGTCTTCTATATTTTTGGACAGAATCCTCTGTCTAGCCCCTGCAGGGCTAATCTTGTCTACAACCTTTCCTGTGCTCTCAGCCCTCTTCTTCATTCTCACCCCAAACTCACAAACAAATTAGGTCTCTGGCTGATATAATATACAAGTGCCAGCCTTGCACTTGTATATTTCTTTCCCCAGTTCCAAGTTCAGGACAGGTTCATGTGGGTGATGTAGAAGCAAAAGGTTCACATCTTATTTATATCCATTGCTAAGCTTTTTATAAACCCAAAGGAACATCACACTGCAGTCCAGTGGGCAGAGTCCTCCTTTGCGAAAGCATCACAGCCCTTTTGGGATAGATTCCCATCAGATCCCCATTGTCACTGTAAAGATCACACTAGATACAGTCATAGCAAAGCTGATTCTTGCACCACTGCTTCAGGTTTAGAGCTCAGGCAGAGGCAGAACTGGAAAGCTTTTCTGTGCATTTAACCCATATTCTGGGCTTAGTATTAACATTCCCTTGCCAGCCCAGCCCTATGTGCAGTTCCAGGAGGAACAGACTACCCCCAGGGCACATTTGACCACAGTACGTTTAGTGCTTTGAAGCGTGCCTCTGAGTATGCCATCAGTCTCCTGTGTTGTAGTTGCAGAGCATCTACTTGTGTTTTCTTGGAGTAGAAATGCCCATATAAAAACCAACCACTCTGATGCCTCAGCAGCTCCCCACAGTGCAGGGCAACAACATAGGAACTCTTTTCCTAGTATGCCTTTCTAGGTCTGACCTTTGATATTAGGCAGAACCAGGCTGAGATGAGGATTGCAAAGGACTTTTCTGTTCTCCTGCTGGCACATACCTTTCAGGCCTCTCTGTGGTTCTCTTTGAGTGGTGAGGTGACGGCAGGATTTTGACCCTCCCTCCAGGTAAACACATCTACCGTGGGTTTGCTCTCCTGGGCTCTTGATACCTCTCCTTGCTATATCACCCTCTCTCTTTGCCTTCCCTGCCTTTCCATGTAAAGCTTCTAGGATATCCCTTCAGGATTAGCTGAAAGCCCCAAGGCTGGTCCTTGGGCCCTGCACTCCTAGTGTCAGAGCCTGTGAACAGTTTGTATATGTTTAATGGTATTTTTGTGTAAATAGCTTTGTATATATTAGCCCAACTGTAGCAATGGCTCCAGGCCTGGCATTTTCTTCAGACAGGGGTTAGTATTTATAATATATAGTCAGTTAATACAGCTGCATAACAGGGACTGCAAGTGTTAGCACATGAGGATTAAACAGGAGTCCCCCTTCCCTCCTCTCTAGCCACCACCTTGCTGGGAAAGGTGAAGTGGCTCTTACCTGAAGTAGTTTTTTTCTTGAGGTTCTTCATGAGAGAACTGGTATTTTAGTGCAGAGATGTTTACTGTGAGGGTGCTGAGGCGCTGGCACAGGGTGCCCAGAGAAGCTGTGGCTGCCCCATCTCTGGCAGTGTTCAAGGCCAGGTTGGACACAGGGGCTTGGAGCAACCTGCTCTAGTGGAAGGTGTCCCTGCCCATGGCAGGGGGTTGGAACTGGAGGAGCTTTAGCCCAGACCAGCCTTCCAACCCAAACCACTCCATGATTCTATGATTCTATGTTAGCTCTTCCATAATGTGAATTCACTCTGCCCGCACACACACATCCCCACTGTGAATAAAGAGTCTGTCTGTATATTGTTGGGAAAATGTATTTGAACTGTGAACTGCAGTGGAGCAAATAAATACTGTGTACAGCATCATGTGTCATGTGAGTCGGTGTTTCACTTCTGGGAGATTAGGAGTTTGCGTGATTTGGGGATTGTTTGTGATATTTTTACAATGGGGAGAAGGGGACAGATGAAGGGAAACGAAGGAAAAAGCAAAAGCCCAGCCAAAGGATCCTTAAAGGTTGTGGACAAGCACAGTAGTAAGAGATGGACAGGAAGGTATTGCAGAATGGGAGATTTTGGGGCAAAAATCAAGAAAGGGGCATGTGGAAGTCATTAGAGAGAGGAAAGAGGAGGAGAGAGATATCTGAAAGCAGCTCCCCAGCCCTGTTCCAGCAGCATTTTAAATCTGGGGGCACGGAGCAGAGGAGGTTGGGCCTGGATATGAAGAACATAGAGGGTTCAGAGGAGCTTACAGCCAGTCAGTAAGAGCACCAGTGCCCTTCACTGTTAACACTGAACAGGGAGTTTGCTGGAAGGTTAGTTTGACACCACCCAAATAGGCCCAGCACTGCAATTTGCCAGCTGGATGGTGCTGTCTGTTCCCAGGTACAATACTGCTGGGAGTAGGACAACTGCCTCAACTGTCTGCAAGTCCATGGAGACAGCTGGACCAACAACACGTCCCTCTGGTGTCTCTGGTTTCACCCATCCCAGCTGAGGGCACCAGGCAAACTGACCAGGGAAGACCTACCTTGCTGCTGTTGACACTGCTGTTGCCCTGTCCCAGCGCCCACCTTCTCTTCCTGCTCCCTGAACTGTAAAGGAAGGAAGAGCTCCCCCAGAACTCAATAACAGTAGTGCTAGTGTTTGGCTCAGAGCTCTTGTGCCTCCCAAACCCCACTGCTCTGCCCCTGTGCACTCATCCCTAACAACAATCCTCCCCAATCGTTTGTCCCAAGACCTCATCCAGATCCAGCTCTGGTTCCCGCTGGAGCACTTTCTGCCGCAGATCAGAGTAGAAGTCGACTCCCTCAGAGACCGAATGGAGGGGCTTGTCTTGGGGCCCATAGTAGCTGCTTATTTGCCGCTGTATGAAGCACTGGTGGTGCTGAGGCTGATCCTTCAAGTCATAGCCCTTGATGTGGTTCCTTTTGAACTCCAGCACTGTCTTGGTGTAGGTGTTGAGAGTGGTGACAGCAGAGGCCATGCAGCAGGTGAAGGAAGCCCAGGCCATGCTACAGGAGAGACATAAGAATAGCATATGCTGTGAGAAGCCAAGTAGGATGCGAACTGCATGCACCGTGATGCACCCTGAGCTGCCAGGCAGGAGCTGCTGGGCACGGATATGAACCGGAAAGACCAAGGCTCATAACATAACAGTTCTTAGGGGTTATTCCACCACAAGATTCTTCTTAAATCAGTGGGGTAAATAGTGGTGGTCTTCACAACACCCGGTCCCAGAGAAGGGAGGGATACAGGGAAAATAAAAAGGGCAGTAGGAAGGTCTGTAACTGGTCAGAGCAGGACAGCACAGCTTGGAAGTAAGTTCTGTATTGCAGGGCTGTTCAATGCCTTCCTGGATATGAGACATGTCTACTTGAGCATAACCAGATGGCCACGCTGACATTTGAGGTCTGTGGCTGGCACATGGCACTGGTGGTTTTAAGTCTTAAGAATCAATGTGGTCATCATCAGTACAGCATTGCAAACTAAGCCTGGACTTTCCATGGGCACTCACAAGGCTCATCCCACTGTTTTTCAAGCCAGTTATGGCCTATCAGCTACAGTCACCTACTTTAGCCTTTAGAAAAAGGAACACTGAGCCACCTGCCTTTGCAGCTGCTCTTCCTGCTACAGGAAATGCAGAAAAACAAGGCACGTTTGAGAGCATCATCACAAGTGTGACGCTGGCCTCTGCACTTGGGGAAGAGGTGAGACCAAACAGAGCAAACCCCCATAGAAGCAAACCTGATCAGTAGCCTGGTTGAAGGCACTTGTTGAGGTTTGACCCAATTGTTTTGCCAGACTTTGGTAGCTACTTATTTAAGCAACTCAGTAACTATTTATTAAAGCAGAGGATAAGGCGAAGAGAGATTAGCAGTAGGAGAACCACAAGACACCTATCTTTGGAAACAGAAGGTCAAGAAAGGAGGAGGTGGGTTTTGGCAGGATGAAGCATGGCTGAAGCCCAATAGGCTGGGGAGGTGAAAATGGCTTCAGAGCTCACGTACTAGAATGCCCAGCCATAGTCCCATGTGTGCGGTCTCCAGTCCTCTGGTCCCAGATTAACCGTTGCCTGAAAGACCTGAGTGTACATCATGTGTGCCACCATCCCAAGGAGACCTGGACACAAAAGACAAGAAAGCAATGAATTTACAGCCAGAGTCAGAGCAGCAAACTTCAGCCTTGTGGGGAAGAGGGGGCTGGGATTCCAAGCCTGCAGTAACACACTTACCTGACAGCACCGAGGAGACAGCAGCAAAGGCATTGAGCTTCAACCCGCAGACAGGATTGCCAGTGTGCAGCATTTCCACCATCAGGAGGATGAAGCTGATGAGCAGCAAGCTGATGTACAGCATCTCTGATCCCAGCGACAGCCACAGGATTCCTACCAGAAACCAGAGACTTCTCACATCAGTACAGGGTGTCTTGTTCAAAGGGGAGCACTTCCCCTTCCCAGCCCAATCCTGAAAGGATGTCCTCTGGAAAGAAGGGAAAGAAGGAAAAACAACACGCAAAGGCCTATGAGCAAGGGCTCAAGGGATGCTAAAGGTGACAAAGAGCCTGCCATAGAAGATGGCTTGGCTATTCTGGCATGACAAAAGCTGAGAGGAACTAAAATGCTGTCTGGAAACAAGCCAGCATTATTCAGAAACAGCAAGGGAAAAAGAGAGGGCGAAAGCTGTTTAGGATTAGCACAAAACCTGGTGGTTGTAGGCTGGCCACGAATATGTCTGTGCTGGACTTTTGAATGTTCTTACTCATTAGCACAGTGACCTTCCAGGTAGGTTTCTAATCACAACGATGGAAGCAAATAACTTTTAACTTGGGACTCAACTGGTTAAGTAAAGAACTGTGTGATACTTCCATGGCTGCAGCTGGGACATGGCCTCTGGAACTCAGGAAGCCTCTTGCAGGCCTGTATTTCTCACTGAAACCCCAATTAGAATGAGTACATTCCTTGGGGGGGATATCCAGCTAGGGCAATTACATTCACCACTCACCCTGCTGCTTGAACAGAGTGCAGGTACTTTGGTGCTGGGGTTATGGGTGGGACTCGAGTGATACCCCAGACCATGGCTGAGCTCACTGCAGTAGGGCTTGGAGGAGAAGGAGAAAAGGCACTCTGTAATGGTGAGCTGTGGAAAAGCACAGGATTCACTGAGGAAGAAATATTCACCGGACAAATGAAGCAGCACTGTGAACACTACTGTTAGCAGCTATTAATGCCTGCAGAGGAGACGTTCAACTGGGGAAAAGGGGTGTGAAGAAAACCCTCATTAACGTGGCACTCACTTGACTCCTCAGTGCCATAGCATCACCCAGCTCTTCAGCACCCTGCTTGAAGGAGCTGGCTTGCATGCTGCAGTACCAGCAAGACTATTTCGTTAGGGCTTAGACTGCAGAAAGTACCCTGGAGGCTTGCAGCACCACATGGGCACAGAGGTCTCTGCATTACTGTCTCTGGGACTCCAGGCTCACCACACATGCTCTGTGATCTGGTCTTGTAACGCTGCCTATGTAATGTGGAGCTGCTCTGTGCACGCCTGGAATCATCACTCACACCACATACCCCCTTCTCCAGTGCTGGCCCAACTATATAATGGCAGCAGTGCTGGAGGCCAAGGTCATCTTAAGATGATGTTATGTGCAGGAAAGGTTGAGGGCAGGTGACAGAGTTGTTAAGGTTGCAGTGTCACTACAAGTTAAGCTCACAGTGACCTTCCAATTAATTTGTAGGAGATCAGTGTCTTACGTGAGCCTTTCTATCAGTGTTGGGATGCAATTAGACAAGGAGCAGTAGGGGAGGAGTGTGAGGGGGACAGACAGAAAGATTTACAAAGACACATAATCTGGTTGCATAAACCTCATTTCTTAGGAAAACAGTCTGTAAGGAAGACATCGGAAGCAACAGAGCCAGAAGCCTGGGCAGGGAACGAAGCACAAGAGGGTGAGAAAGAAGAACAATGCATTGCTACTCCCTGTGAGGTGAGCATTCTGTGCTAAACGCAAGTCATTCAGTAAACGCAGGTAAACCATTGATTTTAAGCAAAAGTGGAGATCTGCATGACTTCAGAACGTTCTTGTACACCAGCAGTACCTGAACTGTGTGACTACTGTTGCCCAAAAGAATAAGTAGGTGAGGCTTCTCTACCCTGCTGTTGTGCCAAGAGTGACCCAAGTTGATCTCTACAGCGATACCGCGGCACACCACTTGCACCAGATCCTCACGTGGGAATGCACATCGCTTTATAAAAGCAGGTCATCGGTCTTTGCCACCATAAAAAAGGGAAAACAAGGCAGAAAAAGAAGATGAGCTCCCTGAAAGTACTCATCTCCCTGCTGACTGTTGCACTTTCCCACTTCATATGGGTTGAGGTTTCCAGCACTGAGCTCACAGATGGCAGTGATTTAGGCAGACGTCTGGGAGGAACCATGAGGCCAGGATTTCATGTCTGGCTCTTTGAGGAGCCACCCTGCTGTCCTCACACAGGTGATACGTTGCAGGTCCCCCTCCCAAGGAGGTGCACTGGACATCTACAGTGAGGTATGGGGATTTGCTCTTACCTCTCTCTGCTGGTGGTGAAAGCTCAATAAAGCTACGGCATTTCTCTTCTGAAACACAAAACAAAAGGTATTAGTTCACAAAACAATGCAGGGTACATAAGGGAAAAGTAAATCTCTGCCTCTCATTCTCTTTTCAGTGCATAGCTCCAGTCACCCCTGAGTCTACCCATCAGATCTTTTCACCTCTGCTCTCTTTCTTACCATCTTTCCAGACCTTCACTGGGGCAAGGCAGGGGGAGGCAATGTCTGCCTGGGAAACTAGAAGTGGCCTTTCCAGAAGAAAACTGAAGCAATTTGTAAATCTTATGCGGCTCTGGTGAATATAAAAATCTGTTTCTGCTCATTCACAACAGTAGTGAGGGTCAGGCCTATTAAGTGTGTAGCTTATGACAGGCTGCAGACCCATCACTTCTGCTAAGGACTTGAATTCTCGCTCACCCCGGTCTCAGCAGAGTGGTTCTAGCACTGCTTCCCCAAGAAGAAAGCAAAAAACCAGTTCTTCCTAAGTGAAACTCTGCCTGACAGAGATATGGGTCCCTCTTCTGCGGCAGGGAATTACACAGAGGTGTATATATGGGTTTCTGTCCTCACATTTTAGGCATGCTATTTGGATAAATGACGTTCATATTTACTTTGGCGTTTTACATTGGCCAGATGCAAACGATTGTCCCAGCTGAGGGTCCAGCATTATTATCTGTGTCTCTTACTGCCTACTGTATTATTGCATTTGAGGGTCCTCTCCTTCACTTGGCACAGAATTTTCTCCCAGAAGTATCAGCCTGCTGCTTTTCATCGTAAGAATCTCATTTTCTTAATTTCTATCCCCAGTTCTAATCTCTCCCAATCTCTTGTATTACTTCTGTCATCCACAGCTCTCAAGACACTACCCAGTTTAGTGCCATCTGCAGTCCTCATTAACTTGCAGTTTGCTACTTCACCTAGAACTTTAATGAGGTTATCCAGTGATGGATCATCTAAACTGATCCTGAGATTAGCCTGAATAATGAAATCCTTTCTCCAGCTCAACTCAAACTCCTTCTGCTCATAGCAGCCCATTTTTGTTGTTGTTGTTGTTGTTGTTGTCTATGCACTTGCTTCAAAGGCCCAAAGCAGCGGGTGGGTTGTACTTGATTACTTGTTTTACAGGAAGCAGAGGACTGAGACCGACTATGTGCTCTGCCCCGCGCTCTGCTGCAATCCAGATGTAACACTCTCCCTGCATTCCTTCAGGCATCGGGGTTATTCCAGGACTGCCTGGTGGCCAGACAATTCTTTCAGAGAAATCTGTCAAGGGACGTAGTCCCATTCCCACAAGCACCATGGAAACACACCCCAACCCAAACCAGTCCCAAATATACACATCTCCCTCCGCATCATGTCTGGAAGTGCTCATAAAGAAGCAGCCCTCTCATTACAACATCAGTTTCAAGCACATTCTCTCCTGCTTCCACCCCCCTTCTGTCTGCTTTTATTCACCAGTTCTTTATTTTCAAACTCTGACAGCAACAGATAAGAACATAAGAAGTGCTCTACTAGAACACTGGCTTAGTTAAAGAAGGTGCGATGTCTGTGCTTGGGGAGAGCTGGAGGGAGGGCGATGGGCTCAGGAGAATGGGCCTCATGAAAGCAACTTTTATCACTGCATCTTTAGATACAAATCTTCCTGTTGGCCACCTTCTGGGTCAGTTCTCATCCTTGATGTGTGTGCCAGGCCATAAGGAGCATCTGTGCACTGCAGGGCATCCACCTGTGCTGGCATGGCACAGGTTTCAGCAGAAGGACTTCAGCAGGGCTGGGCAGGAGCAAGCCAAGGGTGAAGGAAGGCACCAAAGGGGTCTAGTACAGGTTTCACGACCAGCCCATGGCACTCCAGGGTTTACAGTGCCAGTCCCACATGGTCAAAAATCATAAATGAAACCAATCACAATGTCACAAAAGATGCTAATAAAATTACAATACTTCAGCTCTAACCCTCCTGTCAATTTGCCTTCGAACTTTAGTTTCTCTAGGTTCAGACCCTTCAGGTTTTTCAGGTTTTCTCTGTATCTATAAGGCAGCACTTCTCTCTCTCTCAGCCCAGTCCCTGTTCAATTCACAACCCCCTCAGTTTGGTGATTTAAGGAGAACACCATCTATTGCAGCCCTCAGAGTCATAACCATAAATTGTCACCACTAATCACCCCACTTAGATCTCTGAAGGGACTTGCACAAATGAGCCCTGAGAACATGAAGCAAGCTGTGTGTAGGAATGGAGATACAGGGAAAGGGAAAGGGAAAGGAGGCTCGCTGCAGTTCCCATCAGGATGAATGATGCTATCACAAAGTCACTGCCACCACCACTGCTTGCGCTTCACAGCCCTATTCCAGACTGAAGGGCGCACCAGAGACAACCATTCTCCCTTGCCCTCCTCTGTAAACAGCCCAATGAAGGACAGAAATATAATGACCACAGCAGTGCACACGGCTGATGCCAACTAGGAAAATGAAGAAGGCTTTTCTCCCAAATATTATCACCCTCCTGCCTTTCATTTCTAAACTCCTGTGGAGTAAATACAAGGGAAGAAGTTGTGGCTGTCTAGGCAAGATGCTACCTGGCCCTTCCATGCTCTCTTCACAGGAAAGCCACATCCCCGTGTGGAAGTATCGGAAGGCAAAGCGGTCATCCCCGGTCTCCCAGCTGTAGTGCACCACGTCCTGGGATGAAACATTGCTAGCACCTGCATCGGGTGGCATGGGGACACCGATGCACTTGGTGGCCTTGCTCTTCCCACACAAAGGCTTGGGCACTTTTTGGGTCCCGGTGCACCAGTAGCTGCCAAGCAAGGCAGTGGTGGAGAGGCTGAGGGCAAGCAGGTTGAGGATGACAGCCAGGAAAGCACGGCGCCATGGCAATCCCTTCAGCAGCTCCATCTACAACACACAAACATGAGGGACTGTCACACCAGCCATGTGTCCCACGTAGCCTTACAAATCCCAACTTTTTCCAGTGCACACCTGTAGGGAGGGGATATGAGCACTCTGCCCTCCTCACAACATCCCAACAGCTCACTCAGCATAGAAGAACCATCTCCTGAAGGCCAGGGCAGTGGAGCAATAGGTCAGCTGCAATCATTTAATCATTTCAAAGCACACTGGATATCTGTACAGGGGAAGAGAGGGTGATTCATTAGACATTGCAGGGCTGAGTGCGTCGGGGTGCATGAGCACATCAGGAAAATAAAATGGACCTCATGTTCACTCCGTCTCGGAGATGGTAGGAAAGAACTGTTAACCGACTTCCCAAAATACTGTATGTTGCCTTTAGATGGGGCATGAGGAATCCTCTGTCCAGCTAAATGAGGATTCTTGCTGCCAGTCTTCCAAAACACTTTTTCAAGCTGTTCACTACTGTACCTAGGGAGGTAGGAAGTCTGTTGATTTCAGAGTGGGAAAAGGCAGGAAAATGTTCCCAGATCACTGAAGATCACATGTCAAAGCAGTGATCTTGCTCAGGAGGGGGACACAGCTATCCAGATCTGGTAGCTGGGGTTCAAGCCCTAGAGCAGCACTTCTCACCTGAGCAAGCACTGCTCCGAGCATCAGAAACTGGGGAGGGTGGTGGGATGGCAACGTCTCTGCTCTCACATGAAGTGCCAAAGGGCTTTTTTTGGAGAGCAAACATTGCCACGAACACTCTTCCCAGTTTAATCTCATCAGAAAAAATAATCCAGAAAGCAGGTTTTTTACCAAGGTCCTGTGGTCTTTCTTACTCAGAAGAAGCTTAAGATTCCTGCAAAACCTTGCACTGACTTCTGAGAACCCCAACTTATCACTCCATGGATTGATTAGATGTCTCCTACCCACACATCAACTTTCATGTAATCAACGCATATCTCTTCCCACGTGGCACTCCCTATGTTTGGCACAACTTCATCCAGATACTCCCACCCTTTCCTATTTATGACTCTCAAAATCTATTTGCCCATGAATTGATTCAGTTTGTACAGACACTGCCTGCTGCCGGTCCTCTTCAGATAACTTTGGTTGACTCACGCAGCGCTGAAAGGCCCAGCATGTTGTGGACAGTACTATAAATGGTGTGAGGCTGAGGTTTGCTTTGTTTGTGAGTGCACCACAGTTAAAAGTGGTGCAGTGAAAAGCATTTGTTCAGCTAACCAGCAAGCTCAGAAATGTGGTCACTAAAGATGGTTCTGAAGCTCCTCTTGGAAAGCAGGACTTCATTAGCATCTCACTGCACTGAGAAAACAGTGCATGATGCAGAACACCCTCATTGAAGGCAAGAAAATACCCAGCTCCTGAAAAATTCCCATATGGTTTTATGCTCTGGCTTTTTTTAACTCTTCACTAGAGCATTTCTTTCTTTCAACAATGGAGATGCTGCACCCTGGAGATGGCAATGTCTTAGTAATAGCATAACTAACAACTTCCATGATCTGAAGGCGTGTTGGATGTCACCATTTTCACAAAGCAGACATCTCCTAGGAGCAGTTAATTATGTGAAGGTTTCTGGCTGAGGCTGATGGCAAATTCCTTGCTGAATTTTTTTTAATGGAAAATTTGTCTTATGACTGAAAAGGAAATTATTGATACAATTGTTCTCAAAAACATGATTTTCCATCTGAAAATAGAAACCTTCAGCACAGATAGTTTTTCATTAATGCTTGATTACAAGATTTTCTGCTGTCAGGTTTCAGTTTGCTTCTGCTTTTATTTTTTAACAAATACCTTTCCATTCATAATATTAACAAAAATGATTTTTCTAATTTGAATCTTCAGTAGTGAGAAAAATATTCTCTCCTGTTGCTTTGTGGCAGTAGTTGAAATGACATATAGTTTCAGAACAACTGGTAAGGAAAAAGACAAAAAAAAAAGATAAGAAACAAATGAGTCAGAAGAAGGAACTGGGTCAGGGATGCAGAGAACACAGGGAATGAGGAGCATATCTGAACTCTTCCTTCATGAGAACATTGTCAGAAAAGTTCCCCTCCATAAAACCAAGCACTTACTGACAATAACTGACCGTAGTATCTAGATAGCCCCAAAATGAAAGAGAGTTGAATTTACCTTGGCAGCAAGTCCTCGAAGTCCTGTTGATTTGTAGGAGCAATACAGAAATGGGACTCACGCTTTGTCTGCTGGTTTTCTCATCTCTAGATACTCCAGGAAACCCAATTGCTTCAAGACCCCCTTCTCCTTCATTTCCTCCCCTCCTCCCTCACATCCCCAGTGGTTATTAAGTGCTTTCCCTCCAGTCAGCAGCTGGTTTGTGGAAAATGGTCATTTTGTAATCCACAATGCAATCACAGCACAGCTGTTCCGGGAGATTATACGGGAAGCGATTGGTGCTGTGCGCTGGGACTAAGTGCAGGAGGGTGGCCTGTATTGACTGAGCAGAAAGTTTTCGGAAAACACAGAAAGATCCCAACCATCTCCATGTGGTGGCTGTTTGGGAGCTTGTACGGAGCAAGCTGGCAGCTTTCTGAGTGACCTTAGCTCAGAAACCACCGGTGTCAGGACTGACCTTGGCATCGTGTCACCCCTTGCCCTGTGCACTGTCTCAGCAGAATGGCAAAAGGCCACAAGTCCCCCAGCCCTGGGATATCTTCCTGGCCAGACCTGCCGTTTGCAGAAAGGGGAGGAGAAAAAGCAGCGGGGAAAGGAAAGTTCACATCTGCTCTGAGGAGTGAGGATTTGGGACCCTGAAAAGACGCTAAGACAGCTCTGCCTATGGGCACTGGAGATTTTAATGGCAAAAGGAGCCCCTCAGCAGAAGCACTGCTGAGTTGCACACCAGCGTCACCACCGTAACAGAGGTATGTGACATAGTGATGAGTCAAACAAGTTCAATGTCAAAAGGATGGGAGCATGGGGAAGGCTGTCAGTGCTCCTCGTAATGGCAGCTTTTACCAAGGTGCAAAGTTCACCAGCAATCCCAGCTCCCAGCAGCTTCACATCAGATGAAATTGGGAAGCTAGTAAGGAGAGACAGAAAGATTCACACTGACCCTAAGTCCCCTCTGAGCTCTTGTCCTGAAAGTTTAAAGGCTTTTACAGAACCTGAGGGTATTGATACACCTTGTTTGGCATCAGAGCAGTGAAAAGTAAGAACAGCATCACCTCCCACGAGCATGAACTGGCATGAAGCAGTGCCACACTGAATCAAACTGCAAGGAAGAGGAGCATCCTGAAAGCACACACCCCAAAAAAAAAGGCTTTGCCCAGCGTCAAGGGGGTGAGACTGCCACCGCCACTAGCGGGATCAAGACGGATTCCCTGCGTGTTTGCCCTGGAAACCAGTGCTCCAACTGCTCTCATCCCCGGTTCCAAGACCAGAGCCCAGAGGCCGGGAGGCAGGTGTAGGAATCTCTCTGGGTGACAGCCCCTGCACAGCACAGGCAGCAGACGGAGCTGACAGGTTCACAGCCCCATACGTGCTGTCACGGGCTCCTGACCTTTACTGCCCCGAGCAGAACAGTCAGTAGCGCTGTGACTATTTTAATCCTAGTCACTGCATAAACTCCTTTAATATAGATAATCATTTATAAGACGGGCTAACTGAAAGCAATGCTAAATGTTTCCATGCTCCATGGAGTGCCTGCAGGTTGTTTGGTTAAGACAAAGGTTCTGTTTGACACAGATGTGCTTAATTTACTGAAGAAAGTAGAATAAAGTTGATGCTGTTTAAAAGGAGAGTGCTGATTTTTATTTTATTTTCATTATTCAGTTTCTCTGCATCTCGACACCTTAATTTTGACTTCTAAATGTGCAGCAAAAAAAAGCCTGTTTTTCAGGATCAAGTATAGATAAAGTCCTTCTCTCTACTGATAATGCTTAATGTTAATGGGTTCTTAATTTTAAGCTTGACAAGATTCTCATTAAAACCCAGATGCTGTGTCAGTTTCTAAAGCTGGGATCACAGCATATATATTGATGAAATGAGAATTAATTAGATTTACATGGACAAGAATTCAGGTTGAAAAATAAATTTATCAGAGTTATGCTATGGTTTCAAAAATACGCATGTATCAGGTTTGGTGTTCTGAATAATGGCAGGTATTTATCCTTCCAGAAGATGGCAATCTTTCTCTAGTCTTCTTTTTGGGAGCCTGATGTTCCAGTGTACTCTGGGGGGAAGCAACGCCCAAGTTTAGACTTCTTATTCCTTCCTTCCCTTTTTCTTCCCCCTCTATCTTCCTCTTTTTTTCCATTTTTATAAACATAACTTCTTTACCTTGCCTGCAATATGGGTGGTGGATTCTTCTCTTTGAATTATCTGAGCCTGGGGAGACTTCTGAAATCACTGGGGAAAGAAAAAAGAGGAAGGAATGCAGGAGCTTAGCAGGGTATTTGTTCCGCTGTCTGCCCTGCACAGAACTATTCTTTCTAATGCATTTTCCAATATTTTGTCAAGTACCATATTAACTTTCCCAGTGTGTTTCCATCCCCAGATAATTGTACACAGCTCAGAGAACATCAACTCCAGAGCATGTTTCCTGATGCTCAAAGAACTTCCCTCAGCAAAATTTTAGGGTGGGATGGGTTTGATTTAGGTTTTGGTGGTGGTATTGTTTTTAATCTCTATTCCAGCCTTGCCTTAATCTGACCAATTATGAACAGGAAAACCAAGCTGTATCTGTTTTTCACCCTACTGTGCCTTCCAGCTTTCTTCTCTTTGTATCTGATATTTCCCACCATAACTTGGCTTGGCTAGAAGTTTTGAATGTCTCTTTCTCTTTGAACTCAGCAGCAGCCAGTCCCTGATGACTCGTTTAAAGTTCGCCCATTGAAGTGAATGTCCATAGCAGTTGATTTCCTGTGCAATCAGTCCAGTGCTTGGCTTATAGAAACAAAACAAGGAAACGAAATGCAAAACACAATCTTAGAACAACACCTCTGTGGAGATCGCCAACTCTAAGAAAGCCTGGGCATTTACAAGTGATGCGTTTTTACCCTGGCCATACCACAGACATACTTTGGGTGTATTCTGCCCCAAAGCGACACCCTTGACTCCAGAGGTTGTTAGTGGAAAAGAAGGACAACGAGCTCTTAACAGATAGGGCCCAAAATTGCCATACTTAACTGGCAGGTCTCAAGAGGCACATGGCTCTACACAGCCCTCCATGCAGCAATCCTCCCCAGGGGTATCAGGAATCATACATGCAGTCCTGACTTTGGCTCTTCAGCTGTCATGAAGAGGAAAAGAGAGGAGAAAGAGTGGCTATTTACACTCGTAAGGTCGCTATGTGAAACCTGCACAAAGACTGGCTCATACTCACCCTTCATTCCACACATTCCTCACACATGACACTTCCCACCGCTTCTGGTTTTGCTGCTTTTTACAGGAAGACTGTCCAGTGCTGCAGTCCCCTCCTGTACCACCATACAGAAAGCAGGATGTCTCTGGGTGGCAGTGACACCAAGACAGCCAGGCTTCTCAAACCCAGTGACAGACTGCAAATACCAGATTTCTTCCTGAGCTCTGAATAATTCCGCTCAGATTGTAACCTTTATTTAGCTGTTTGCATGATGCATTAACTCTTCCTCTGCAAATGAATGACCTCGCCAGGCATATTTTTTCAAGTCTAAGCACATTTAAAGGTGAATTCTGGTTTTAAACATGAACTGCTTACATTGCTAGACATCAAGTCTGTGTCAGAACAGAAATAAGGATCGAATTGGAATAAGTAAATGCATCTTAAAGATGAACAAATAAGCTTGCCGCCAGCTTGGACCTAAACACGTTTTCCCCCTGCTTTTTTCTTTTCATCTTTTTTTTTTTTTTCCACCCAAAACAAGTCTTCCTTGGCTGGATTTTCTAATAATCTTTATGGTTATCAATGATTCATAAACCACAGCGAAAGTAGTTATGAAAAAAAAAAACCCCTTCAAATGCAGCAACACACACTTTGAGGACCCATTGGGGATTCTAGATGCCTCAATTTCTAGGTAGGCAGCATAATGCTATTTAAAGGGGGTTGCTTTTCACAGAGTACTTAGACTCTAGCAATTCTAGGGTGTGTTCACCTGAGCACACAGAAAAAAATGTTAGTTAAGAAATTAAACAAACCATAAATGGTAAGCAGAGAAGAAAAAAACAACTTTTTAGACAGATCTATAAGGATATTAAAGAGGAACCAGAGCAGGAAAGTGCATGCAAACCCCCAAGAAGATAAACACCTTATCCACTGCTCACTATCCTCATCTGCTCTCCTGAGGCACCCGGTGAAATACTACAAGGTGATCGTGGACTATCTATCCCCACTATTTCTTTCTGACGGAACACCCAGCAGCCAAGAAATTCAGTGAGATCTGACCAGATGCTTTGAAATGTACCAAGTCTGTTATTTTATTGACGGGTTAATTCTCTCTGAGCTTGCTAATTCATCACTGTACTTTACATCAGCTGCAGGGTTGGCGGGGTGTCCACGTCTATAGAATGCATCTTTGTAACTCAGTGGTCCCTTTTATGAAAATCGTTGCCAGTTTTAAGTCTACCAATTACAGGATCTCAGTCTGTTACTCCACAGGAACACAAACACCCAGACCCAATGACTATCACAGGCTTATGGGATTTATTTTTTTTTATCATCAAGAGGGACCATTGCAACCATATAGTCTCATCTCAGATGCAACAGAACTCAAAGAACTTCAAACAATCATTTCTAATAAGACACAGAGCTCCTGCTGGAGCTATAGCATGTCCCTTATACAACCAACTAGTGCCGACAGTGCAACAGAATATGGTGGAAAACCATCACATCCTTAGAAAAGTTATTCCAGTGGTTAATTAGCCTCATTCTTATATTTTTTCTTTTGATTTGTAAGCAGGGTCTGCTTTGGTTTTCCATCCTCACCAGGCTGCTCCAACACACAAATAAATAGCCAGTGAAATGATTTCCTAAAAATGTTATTGTAAGAGTCACAAATCAATGCATTGCATTAGAGGCACACAGTGTGAGCTAACAAGCTGGCTGACAGCCCAAATTCCTGGTTCTGTACTTGGCTCTGACACGTAATTTTCCCCTCCCATCAGCCAAGTCATTAGTGGTGCATTTACACTGCAGTCAAAGCAGTGGTAGTGATGGGGAGTAAACATTCAGTGCTTGCTTTAATTGGGTGTTGCTAGTAATTTCCCTCCAGCAATATGGAGCACAATGCAGGGTACAAACCTCAGCCCAGAAACGGAGCAGAGTAAGCTGTGTTGAACTGCACATTGCCATGGCTGGCCTGATAGTTCAAAAATACCTCTTTTTTCTCTACACTATAAAGTTGGGTCTTCAAAGTCATTCCCACAGATGCAAATCTACAGCACAGCTTATCCTTGTTGCTATTGCACAA